TCTTCCGGCTCAAGCAGTGGCCGGGCTCCTTTGGGACGTGCTGCAATGTCCCGTGATGGCCTGGATAGCTCAGCACGGTGAAGGAGGCGTCAGTCCTCAATTCCCCAGGCAGCCCTTCCCAAGCAGAGGTCCCAGTGGCTCTCTGCTCAAGCGAGAAATCGGTACTTTTGCTCTCGTAAGCTTGTGATGGCTGGGTAGAGACTTGCCAATTTCTGAGATATACTAAAGACATCCTCTTGTTCTTTTTCAAAAATATTCGTGTGTGCCTCGCCTTTTTGTGTCTTTTTAATGGCATTGATCACACTTCCACTGGTCCCATCTTTATATATGATCCCTTTTAGTCCAGTTTAAATTTCTGGAAATTTTGTGCTGTTTTTGCTTCCAGTTCTCACTATAAATCTGGTTAAAAGTAGCTAGTAATACCCATGCCACAGCTTGAATACTGGACTCCTTTGAATATTGGACTCTACTAGATCAATGAGTTCACTGCACTTAAACTCAGTCTCCCACAAAGTCTCAAGCAGTAGGAATTATGTAAGCAAAGCTTTTTCCAGACAGTAACATGCATCACCTCTAGTCCAATTCCCAGTAGAGTCCTCATTCCCTACTGAAACGTCATGAGCTTGGCTTTTACTCTCTTCATCCCTATTAACATTCTGGCCTTCGGAGCGCTGACTAGAATTATCTGTTGGCATCTACTTACAGACTTCGCGGTTTTCTCCAGCCCAATTCTAAGAGGTGTCGGTTGTCACTTGATGTTGGAGTTGTAGGAATGATTTGTTTATGCTGGATAAAGAATCATTTTTAATATATGCTCTAAATTTCTCCTTATAGCTTGTAATTTTACTTTATGATGTCTTTGCATAAAAGGTCTTTTTTTTTAAGGTTTTAAATTCAATGTATCTAGGTTTATATTCTCTCTGGGTTCAGAACTTTGTACATTGTCTAAGAAATTCTTATGGAAAGATTGCAAGTGCATAATAAGCATTGTAAAATAATAATAAAATTATTTTAAGGTTAAGCGTCTCCCAAGAATAATCAAGAAAACTATATGGCACAGTTGAACATTAGAAATACAAAATTATGGTAAATATGGAAAGATTAGAAATTCTAAATGTTTCATAGACATACTATTAAACAATACTACAATGCTACAATATCATAGCAGTAAAATTGAAGTTTAAGGTACAAGATACATATTCCTGACAAAGCTACTCATTGATTCCTACTAACACTATTTCTCCCCAAAATTTTGATATTAAAACTAATCAAATATAGAAATACCATGAGAAAAAAATCACAAAAGTTTAGGAAGAGGAATATAATATTGTTATGTCTAGATTACCTTATCTCCATATTTTTACAGAAAATATCAATGGAAAGCAATACAATAATAAACATTTGGAAATATTGTTTTAAAAATATATGTACTAAATTATCAACTAAACCTAAGAAATCCAAATAGTTTCTCCAAATTTAAATAACTAATTTTTAAAATTGGTATGAAGAAATTACTCTATTCATAATAGAAAGACCCCATATCATAAAATGTAAATTCTTCCTAATTCTAACTGTATACAAGTATTAATTTAATATATACACTCGACTTAAAAATAAATCAGCTCAGGAAGAATTCACTTCTTTCTGTCTGTCTCATTCATCAATTTATTTATTATTTTGGTTCTGGGGATTCCTGGCTATCTGGATGTCCTGAAAGGATGAAAAACATTTCTCTTCCATGATAATTTTGACTTGAGGGAAAATCTGGAAGACACATTGTGCCTGATCCCATGGATAAAGTGGATGAGGACATATCTCAATGTAATTATCTGAAAGAAATTTTTGTATTTTGAATCCATATTAGACATTGAGGCAGTCACAGAAAGTCATTCACCGAAGAGGTTTTTCATGTGGGAGAAATTCAAGCCTGGTTGGGCCAGGTGCGCCACATTCCTGTCTCCTGAGCTAACTCGGAGACCTTGCTAAGATTGAGGTAACTCGCCTGAGTGCATAGATGCTGGGTCCAACAGGCTACACCTCTGCCCCTAGTCTGTGACTCCTTCATCTCGCCCAAGAAAAAAAGATATCCCAAATGTTAACTGCTCCTCCCATGCCCCGCCCCCATGGTTGTCCCTATATAAACCTGTGTATTCCCTGAATAAAGCAGAAGCTTCCAGAAACCTTCTCGGAGTTTGCCTGGTGATTCCGAGCCTTCCCCTCCAAGTCCGAGCTGTGAACTTTGTTCTGCCAGTAGGCTCACGGACGACATTTTCAGAACTGATTCAGAGGATGGCAAGAAGGATAGGATAAATGTGTTAAAAACTGGGAAAAATGGCACATTTTTAGAGGGATTAATGACAACGCATCTTTTTCTGTAATAATGGCTTCAACTTTAAACATTCACACTATTTTTGATCACCTCTCTTATGATTAATAACCAGATGTATCAAAAGATTTAACTACTAATTTAACTACTATTTCCATTATCTTATGTATTTTTCTGATAGTGTACATTAGGATTATTCATATTATTTAAATCTAAATAACTGTTGTGCTTTCATTTTTGTATAATCAAATTGATTTGTTTGTGCTCGTGATTACAAATATCTTTGCTACTACTTCTTGCAGTTCACTGCACTGCCTATGATTGTTTTAACAAGTTATTGCAGTAATTTTCAGGAATTGTCTTCAAGTTTTCTGTGGATTAAGTGTTTGTTCTTCTAACAGTATCGGTCTCATTTCTCTCTGTTAGCTCTAACAAAATTTCTTGTCCCTAGCTTTACCAAATCACGTCTATGAGTTGATTTAGTTAATTTGTCCTGTTTGTTTTTCTCACTGCCTAAATATAGATGCATATGTTTTATCACTTCTGAAAAACTGAAAAACTTCTGAAAGACTGAAAAGCAATCTTCTTCCCCTCATATATTATTTTGTACAGTTTTTTCTGTCTTTTCTTTCTGGAACTCTCATGACTTTTATATTTCCCATCCCTCTGTGCCCAACCTACCTACATGCTTCGTTTGATCTGATGAAAAACCTACCTATTGGGCACCAACAGCGTGATGAGTGCAGAGATCTGGTTTCTGCAACCCCTTGCCTCATTTCCTCAACAGTAGATCAGATTTCAACCCTTAGCTCTAAGCTCTAAGGAGTCACCTGTTCCTGGTGACTGACAACTGTGGTATGACTTCTCCTTATCTGTCCAATGGTTCCAAGTGAAAATGTTGGGAATTCTTAAACTGCTTGGTGGAGGATAAGAAGGAAAATGCAGAAAAATCTCTTTTCCCTCTTCTGAAAGATTATATTAAAATATGTAGGTTTGATGTTGTCTGCCCCCAAATGCCTACATTATTGAGAAATTGATTATTCTTTCTTCTGAATCAACTTATTAATGCACTAAATTGAATTTACATTCTTTGCTTCAGGTCTCCTTTCCCCCTTATCTATCCTCCTTGGTTCTTACCTCCAAATACAAGTCTTAGCATGTGAGTTTACCTTTTTTCTCTCAGGAGTTCGGGGTGATTCATTATCTGTTCAGGTCCTCATTGTATCTTACAAATTTGTCTCTTTCTTTAACCTGTATTAAATTCACTCTATGCACTTCTATTTCCATTGTATGTATGTCATCATTTCCTATATCTCATTGTGATTATTTTCAAGTGTATATGTATATTTTGAAATATATATAT